TCAACTTTATCTGACTGTTGTAGTCAAATAATGGCAAGCCAGATAGATTTGTTATCAGGGAAAATATAAATAAAATCCAAATGTCTAATTCAATATTTATGATGAAGTAGCTGTTATTCCACTGAATGTACTAATAAATGGGAATTTGATTACATGTGTTTTTCCATTGCAATAATAATTTTAAACATCATTATTATTACGTAGTGCAGACAGACACATTTTAGTCTACACTATACTTTACTATCAATTTCGGAAACTTATGCAAACCAAACACTCCGATGAGCTATTGATCAATTCATCAGTGGAGAAACGTGGATCTATTCCCAAATATGTTGTATAAACATATATTCATTAAATTCAGATGTCAGAAATATTCGAGTGATAAACACCTAGGCATAGATGGGCGCGGTCGCTAGCATGTATTACATACAATCATAAAATGAGCAGACATGTCGAGTCATCTCAAAATTACACATAGGTGTAGAAGTTTCCGTTCGCGATTTCACGTTACATGCACATATAGAACGCATACGCCGCGCCACATACACTCCACTACAAACAATACCGATTAACATCAATGAATTCGTGATAAATATTAGACCTCCATCCTAAGTATTTTAACATCTTAAAAGTTATGTGCATACTAAATGCTCTATAATTTAACTCATTATCTGAATAATATCTTCAAAATATGCATTCAGATACCATTTTTTAGCATATTGTAATATTATCGTTATTATGTAACACATTAATTGATTTCGGGTTCATACTATTGAGTTGTATATTGTAAGTACTCAGTGCAACGAAAATGCCAAACAATGAATTGAAAATCGAGTGGATTATGTTTTTATTCAGTATGAAAATATAATAACAGACATATTCGGCCCAGCCTTTTTCATTCAAGAAGAAATAGCAAAGCTGAGGAAACTGGGTTTTCAATTAAGTAGTTATTCTTCTGGTGAAAGTGAAAGTGATTGAAATAGTCATAAGATATGTTTCGAAGTGAACGACTTGATACTAAACACGTCTTATGACATTATGCACAAAACGCTGATATCACGGAATGCAGGATTGTCAAGCAATCCTTTTGACGGCCTCTACATATATTGATATTTATCATAGTGAATTATTGATTGAAAAGCAATGGTTGCATTGGAATAGTAAAATTCCATGTTGTACTTTCAAAATATCGTTGTTCACTACTTTAATTAGTTCACTGAAGAGTTTTGGAAATCCACTTGAAAAGGATTAATGTTTTCGAGGTATTTTATCTACAAACACAGCTTAACATTGCATAAATATTCAGTTCTTAAGTTTTACAGGAAATCATAATGGTACGAATTATGTTACGGTTCGACGGACAACCATGGCGAATTAATGATTACAAATAATCTGTGCATTGGATAGACTGACAGTGTATTGATCATATCGCAATGAGTAGAAAATCGAATTACTCGCGTTAATAAAAAACCTGAAAAAGGTGTTTCAATTATAAATGAGTTTTCATTTTCCCTACCATTTACTTGTCTATTGACTTGAGGTATCTCAATATCAAGTGGCAAGCAATATAAATGATTCAAATACAATCATGCTGGAGTCAATTATCAAGCATCAAAAATTCTACTGTTATTCGTGCTTTGAAATTATTGAAACAAGTTTGTTAAAGTAAACACGTAACGTTTGTTCTCCCTTATGAGAGTTTTTTTAAAAACCAAAGAAAATGGAAACAATCATTATGATATTTTAAACTTACGTTCTTAGTTGAATTATTTTCTGTTAACAAGTAATCCACGGAACATGGTTCCGTCATTAGTTTACCAGTATTAGTTATCAGGATAGTATAAGTCGCTGCTATATAAGGTGGAACACTCAGTTCAACATTAAAGAATTGCAACTTTTCAGCTTGATTCACCACTGAGGTATCCTTTAATGTCAAGTTACTTTTCCAAGCCTATTCGTTAAAAAGGAAGTTAATATGGTTTGTACTGACAACTTACCAAATTAAAACCTGTAAATGCTATGGGTTGGCTCTCACAAAAATTCACTGTAGAATTCTTACCTAATGGTGAGATTTTCGCTTCAAACATAACGGATACCAAATTTGGTTTATATATCTGGATAAAAACTGTTAGACGAACTGATCGATTCATCATTGGCAAAGTAGTGTCATAAACACCTAAAATATATTTTAAATTAAATGTGAATATTTACATATGAATATAAAATAAGAATTGCTCGTTCCAATAACTAGGAAAAGAAACATTCAAAGAAATATGAAAACAAGATCATTTTGTGAAAGAATGCTTGTCATTGGGACTTATGAGAGTAAATCGCGAAAGTTCCCTAATGAAATGTATTGGAAAATAATAGTTTATATTTGCAGTTTTTAACACGACAGTTAGCTATTTATGAAAAAATGAGCCCGATGAAAGCTAAAACATAGTCAATTAAACGTAATTATACGCTTCATAGATGTAAGAGATCTAATGGTGAGTAATGTTAGTAACCTTGAATATACTAAGGTCATTATCTTCCAGTCTGACTGAGAACACTGACGATGGCTGCAAGATATTAAGAATTGATTGAACGTTAGCATGTGAGCCACTGGATGTAAGCTAAGTGGTCTGGAGGTTAGATGTTTGCACGGCACACCGAGGTTCCTGGTTCCTATTCACGACAGTGAAATGGTAGATGCGTACTGGCGAGAAGTCTCAATTTAGAAAAAAACGTAGCTTTCCAGTGCTTCCTAATATTTAATAATTGTTCAACGAAGATCAGTCTGTGATTCGGAAACTCAAAAATCCTCACGATCCTCCTACATTAGTCAAGAATGATCGCAAACTTTCTAACAATACATCCATTCAACTATGCCAAGAAAAGAAGCCTAGAATGGATGATAATTTCGCACATTTTTTATCAAGGTTTGAGGGGTGAGAAATTTTTATTGTTACATCTTTTATCAGTCTACATATGGAAGGTCTTGTAAAATGAGAAACAAAGAGGTAAAAAATAACTTTCTTCGCTGGTAATTTTTAAAATATTGCAAAGCATGGGTTGTTTTGAACTGCATCTCATTCTTTTGCGATAGTAATTGACGGTTCAGTATGTCACAATGCATCTGTGTTCGGTAGCCACCTACAGACCTTGTAACGACCGCTATATAGTCGGGTTCAAGTCAAAATAAAACAGTTTACCCAATTGAAATGAGCAATATTCCACCATCTTACTGTTGGTACTTCTCTGTGTGATATTCATCTGCAATTAGTAATTATTCTCGAAAGAGAAAATAACTAGTATATCTTTCATAAAACTTTCTATAGATCATAGACAGAATGGGTGTGTGTCACCTAATTATGATTTTGTAATTTAACTTACCCCAGTCAGTAACATATTTATGAGTGCAGTTATATTAGGAAAACTAAATATTCAGGGATGAAGAAACTATCGGCTGAGCAGTTCACCGTCTTTTAACATCACTTTCCAAAAATAATGAATTTTATGTTATTGGACAATTTTGTACATAAAATTTCAAGACGTCTTGATGGTACTTTCAAAATTACTTAGACATTATATTCCTGTTCAAAGTGGTTTCCTGGGAAACTGAAATTCTGTTCGTCTCACTCTTAGTTACCTTCTTTAGCAAACTAACTACTAAATCGAAATCACAGTTTTCTCTATTCCTTTGCTCTTACTTTAATCGGAGAATATTGTTCAGCTTATACTACTATATTTAATAGCAGAAAATGAACTATTATAACTATGACTTATCAAAGATCTTTATTTCTCCTTTCGGAAAACATTTAAGACATTTCAAACTAAATTGACAGATCTCTCGCTTCCTGTCGTAGTATCAAGATGAAAGAAATCATGTTTTTTGATTTATCTAACCAAAACTGTTTCTTTCTCGTTTCTAAGTGATTACCCTGAAAGTTACGCCAGCATCTATGTGAATAATGGTAACACTCTAAGCCTGACATTTTTTCCGCAGTGGACATTGAATTGATACTGTGAACTTGGTTTGGATTGAAGCCTCAATAGGATAATGAATGCTCCCTGGAGTGAACTAAAATTGATTTAAACTAATATTTTACACACAGACTTGTAAGTTACTTTTCGAGTTAGTACTTAAATCGGAAAGTATGAAACCATTAAAATTAAAATATTTACTTGTCTATTTTGTTTGTTGTCAATAACACAAAATATTACAATCTTATTTACTGGATAGGATTCTGCTTAAGGTGTTTACAAGGTTACTTAAATTTTCCTGATAATTCTGAAACCATACTAGAAATGAGAGCAAAAGCATACTTTATAGATGACCTTCAAAAAACTGAACCGAATTTCCAGCCAGTTCTAAACTAATCAGAAAGCAGCTTTTAAAAATGAGTAGTCTGTGAAAAAAACGATGAGATTACAGTGTGAATGGATTCTAGGTAATTAATGAATATATTAATGTCTTCTACCCGTTGTTCCACCTGCGAGTTGAAGAAACAAAGGGATATTACTTCAACTGTGCTGTTAGAGACTATTCGTTTTCGTTAATCTTTAAAATGATCCAAAACGTGTTCTCACATTATTTTTCGTTAGGGATAGCACATTTAGGGTAATGGTTAGGGCTTTGGAGCTTCATTCACAAATTAACAAATTAAAAATTCCTCTGTTGTCGTATATGTGAGTGAATTTCTGTCAAAAATACTGGAGTAAATATTTGATCAGTTCATTCATAAAATGTAGTCCCATTAGGTATGTGTTTGTTTTAGGATTAAATATTTAAAGGTAGAACATATCGATAAAGCCGATTTGCCTGTTAATTACAATCAAAGGAGACAGAAGTAGAATTTCGATACACTTCACACCTACGATTTTAATCTACATCTGCAAAAACTGAATTTTTGCAGTCATTGTGAATGTTTCGAGCACTACACAAAAGTATTTTCACTGCTTGTCACACATAATATTTGAATTTCGTGCTGAAATTCAATTCTGATTGACTTGTCCCTAAAGTATACTTTTACTGAAACCATCGTCGTAATTAGTTTTTGAATGGAGTTTTCCACATTGCTCTTTCCATTTTCTGATTGACTTCCATCGCTTATAGTTAGCTAAATTTCTATAGTCTCAAAGGTCATCTTTTTGTTCTTATATTACAGAGTTACGTGAAATCATAACCTTGAACGACGTATACTAGTGCAATTCACGGAAACCTCAACAAAGCATACTATGAATATATTAATTAATTTTTGTTCAGGAAATAAGTTGGACAAGAGATATTTGATTCCAGTAAACAGTTTAATGATAAGTGAAATGTACAACGTTTAAAAAATAACAACAAAATAAAAGTATCTACGATGATCCAAACATGTTAGTAACTATTTGATAGTGGTTAAATTCGACTATTGATTACAACACGGTCAAACCATACTATTTTTTTCCTATTAAATTTCACTATGACAATAGGAGATGGCTGTAAACTAGCGAAATCAGATATCAGGAGTCTCGCAGTGTGAATAAATCTATATTGATTTCATGAAAAGCAGCGAAGAAGTACTATAGTGTGTTTTTGAGCAGAATGATGACAGCACATTTTAGAAATTCTTTCAACAGAAGTTTAGAAGTTTTAATACAAATCTATTACAAAATAAAATAGTGTTACAAGTAGCAAGATTATTCAGAATTTAAATGCAATCACACAAGAGCAAATATATCTGATAATGAAATGTATAACAAACTGCTAGCTGATATCATTTGGTCAGTAGCATTCCCCCTTCATTTGTAAACTGATATATAATGTAGGTATGAAGCTCAATTATCAGGTCTCGATTTCATTGAGAGGCCTGTGAAATACGTATCATACAGGATCTTATATTTGAAGTGACTTCTACACAGGCTCATTTTTGTGGTCCATATTTTTATATGTAGACATTTAACTTTTCGTAAAACAAATCCTGTTCTTCTTTCCATTAGTATTGTCTTCACTTGGAGATTCGTGTTAATAGTCTGATCTCGTATTCAGCAAACACAGAGACTAAAGCAACAATACGTTTACCCATTGATTTATTTGCAATTATAAAGCTAGCATTGTTCATAAGATGATTACCAGTAAAATATATCTTAAAATCAATGATTTTTCGGAATACGACTTCTGGAAACAAATATTTTTATCCAACTTGAATAACAACGTATTCAGCCCCTACCATCTTCTTCATTCCTCTTAATCACTCCATATTTATGCATATTCGATTGTTCACAACATCTCTTGTCACTTCAGTTCAGTAATAAATACTTTTGGTACGTGGAAACTGTCATACCATTACACTACAAGTGTCATAATTAATAGCTTTTCCAAGTAAAACAGCTGAACACTTTCCAATTTATGACTGGTCAAGACAGAATAAACACTGAGCTTATTCAAATTCATCATATATAGTTGAGGGATTTGTCTATGCACAAATTTTGTCACCAAATAAATGTGGTTGTTAAGAATTGATTAGTAACATCAGTTTGACGAGGCCATCATACTGACCGGTAAAAAAGTGATTCATCGAAGAAATATTAACAGAGAAATGCAAGTAGCAGAATAAGTGCCTAAAATCATATCATCCACTGCCCTAATGATATGCAGTATGAAAATTCGGTACTTGTGTAAATAAGTATCAGAAAATGGAAAGGCACTTGTTACTGTTTTGGCAAGTGCATACTTAATTTCATAAACATACATACAGGAAAAGATGAAATCTTTCGAAAATACAATATTTATGAGTACCACCTTTTGAGCATGATGGTTAGTTGTGAAACATCAGGTACTTAGTGTTATAAAACACAGCTAGACTGAACAAAACTGTTAATATATGATGCAGTTAACAATATACATGGTTTATACTGAAACAGGGTGTTTAACGTTAGAAATCATTGTACGATGAACTTACCTGGATTTTGTAGATTTGAAACGCTAACGTAGCCAATGGTAGTCAGTACGAAGTTATCACCAACGAATTGTTGCGTATCTATTTTGTAACCTTCTGGGTATGTAGAGAATGTTGTAGGTAGCGTCAAAGATATGTGTCCAATCGAAGCACTCAACACATCAGTCGTGAATGTGAACTATCAAACAATTTATTAGGAAACAACAGTAAGTATTTTTCTGTACGTGGCTTTAAGGAAATAAATACGTTCAGTTTTGCATTGCGTGAACATACAAAAGTAAAGTGTTTATATACAGATATATCTACTCAATGTCCTACAACACTATGATGCATATTTAAATGTACTCTATCAATTTTGTCTGAACATGGATGATCTCAGATGTTGTAGAAGTTCTCTCGTTATCATATTGAATAATTACCTGTTTCGTATTGTATTGGTTAGTTAAAAATTAGCTACACTTTATTTGTTAAAGTAATTAGTAGACTGTGAAACACTGATCTGGTATATTTAACAGAATTCGTATTATGAAATTGGATACTATTCATCAGGTCAAATACTTAGGAAAATTATAGTTGATATGGCCATTGATATTAAAGAGAAATAGTGATAGCATTTCAGCTAAAACAACACACTGTCAGTACTAAAAATTGTCCCCATAAAAATGAGAATATAATCACCAGGATAAGTCTAGCAACTTCATTTCGTTGTATTTGGTCGATTATCCAACCTACTTCAAGCTTTTAAATGTTAGATAATCTATGATTTTGATTTATGGCGGTACGATGTGAGATGATAAACCTTAATAGAGTTTTATTTTATTCACCTGTCCTTCTTTAAAACAGATCTTGTTTTTTTCAGAAGAGTGGTCGATTATTCTTATATTTCTTCCAATGATTTAAAGGTTTATAAATGTATTCCAATATCATATCAGAATTTATCGGAATTTAATGAAAAACACTGAACGACATTCAGTGTATTTGTTGAGTGTGGTAAAGATAGAGGTGGTGATTATAACATATTCTTAAGCAGAGTAACTGAATAAAATCAGATTTTCACAGACATCTAACTATCAGGTTTTTACTAGCTGATATTCTCTGGAGTAATTATCGTCAAAACCTGATACATTTTCTATTTAGTTTGTAATTTTGAAGTGTTCATTAGGACCCGACATGTTTTAAGAGCCTCGTCTAGTTCTACTGAATTTATCATCACTTTTAGATTACAGATTTTTGTACGAAAACTAACCGATATTAATTATTATTCGAAAGAGCGAACTAAATATATGTATAATCTGTACTGAAGATTGAATCATAAGCGTTATTGATCATCAAAGGAAATTTATCGTGTTAGCGAAATCTGAGAGGAGGAAACAAACAGTCTTGATCACTGAATTTCGTGAACAGTTTTTTTACTGTCAGTTAAAACCTGGATTATTGTGATAATGAGTTAGTGGTAAATTTAGGTAGGATACGGACTGTCAACAATGGCCAATTTTGTAAGAGAAAGGTTTTGATATAGCTAAGTGGATAAAAGCAAGTCTGGGTGATCGTTGAATAAATTTGTTACATGCCTTGTCTCCGAACGATGAACATCCTTTTGATCCTCAAAAGACAATAATATTGAAGAAGCCACAGGTATTCGGAGTTTGACAACACTTTAACCAATAACACCTAATATGAATCGTACTCACCAAGTGAAATCAAAAGACAGAAGCGAGAAGGTACTGTTATATTTCTCTTTCTTACGGTATGACCCAGTTATTCCTATTGCTTAGTATTCTTGGACACTAAATCACCCGACAAGTCCCCAAACAGAACACGGTTGAACAGGAAAGAAATTATATTCCAAATAACAAGGTTAGATGTAAGCAAGAAGCAAGTAAGTGCAATAGGGAAAACGTTAGTATATTTAAAGTTTTTCAGATGAGATTTCTAGTGTTCACTAAGCGTGCACCAAAGCAATCGTGCATTGAGCATGCTTTAATCCAGTCTATGTTCCGCTAACAGGTTCGAAGATATATTTGATGGGCTATCAATATATCGAGGATCGTCTGTTCTAATCTGGCTAGCGGTTGCAGGGTTTGTTGTGCACGGTGTTCCCACTCATGATCTGGTGCGGATACATGACCAAGCGCCTTCAGCTAGGTGAGTCCATTAAAACTAATGTGGTCAGCATGCAATGTCGAAGACTTACAGAGCTATTTATTTTGGGGATTTATTTACCGCTACAATATGCATTCATCTAGCTGTTGACATGTCTTATGACATAAAGCTTCATATATTTTCTGTTGGTGATGTACAGATTAATTTTTCGTTATGAGGTATGTCATAGTATGCAACAATTAAGTCAGAAGTCTTATTATTTAACAAATTTTTTCGTAAGACTGAAAATTGTCCAAGTATCATACTTATTACTCACCACATAATCGCCAATGGGTCTGCTTATAAAGTAGTCCACAGAATATTCATAAACCCCACCTATTTCCACTATCGGTGGGCACTTGGTAAAGTTAACTGAATCATATTGAATCGGACAGTTCGAGGAAACTCTCATGGGAATATCTACAGTAACCTTTGGAGTCAACAATGCCTCCATTCTGACTGTTAAATTGGCACCTATTGGTGGAATCGACATTTGAGGAAAAAGACCAACTTGGAATCGCATCCTAATACTGAAGTCATTTGAATCATTGGCAGGAGCGGATGAAACACTTATTTGACTTGTGATTGTGAACTCCGAAGACTACGGAAAACAATAAACAAAAATGGATTAAGGGCTGGAATTCTCAGGAAATTCTCCATTTTTATATGTATAATTTGGCACCGAAGATATGAGTTAATATCAACTTACGAAGATAAACCACTGCAATTTCAAATTAATTTAGACCCATTCACAGAACCGATTTTAAGCGATGTTGAGTCATTTGATGTGACATCTTTTATCATATATTTCTTCAAGTTTGTAGATTGACTACAATTATTTGGTATATCAACTCATCTATAACCAAAATCTAATTTACGGAATAAAACAAAGCAAATATAGAAAATCAGAATTTCTATCTATTACTGCTCCTTAAAATAAGAAACTCACAAAGACGTTTCTACATCTTATCTGATCCTTTCTGTTTTAGTTCTTGTATTTTCCACTCCTTCGTCTCTCTAGAACTTTCACTCAGTGATGACTATAGTCTTATATTACAGTGTTTTCTTTCTTCTAATCTTGTAGATTATTCTGTTCTATTTACACTCACTTTTCAAATTCATACTCATAATGGAACTTTGTATTCAGGTTTTCGATAGGTTATTAAGATATGGAGATTATTGGATGAGACGTAAATCAGGAAGGTTTTTTAAGCGAAATTGAATTAAATTTTATACAAATTAAATATCCATTGTTATGAATCTTCACAATCTCACTGTGGGTATTTAAAAGTTGGTTTTAACTATTTAAAAAATTTTTTTCCTTTCGAGTACATAACCAGCATCAGCTGGTATTTGGAATGTTCTGATATGAAACAGAACTATGATATTTACTCTCAAGCTTCAGTGAAATGTGGAATAAGTCGTTGCACATATCGGTTTACTTTCCATAGTAACTTTTAACTAGTACAATATTTTTAATTACAATGTAAGATATATTGAAGGCCAAGATATACCAGCTTCATGAGAGACTGTTAACTTAGTGTTATACCTATACAGAAAGTGAATTCAGAAAACCTGACTGTGTCTACATAATGTATTTCGAACTATCTAGGAATTTTTCATTTTTATACACATTTATTGTCTGTTAGATGAAGTGTATTTTACTATTAGTAAACATGAATCAAACTGGTCTGTTTACTATGTTTCCATGAGAAACGTTTATGTACATAACCATGTGCTTTAAAAATTTACTAGATATGCTTCATTATTTTCTGAAGTGCAGTATCAATGGATATCCACAACCTATAAACTTACACAAATTTTTTAACACATCACAACGAACAACCTCTAGTGACAGGAATCAAGAGGGGTCATATGTATATTTACTTGTACATTCCCTGTTACACATACATTTACAATCTCTAACAGAAAATGCTGTAAACAGTAAAATTAATCATACTACATTCATATCCTTACCGAGGAATTATTGTTCAAGTATGTGAGATTACTAAACTTCACAGGATAATTATTTGCTATATTTGAACCGTTGTAGTACGCAAACAAATATTGTATATATCCGTAATAGACATTATTTAGAGACGGACCAGAAAATTTCATGATCAAACTATTATTCCCAGGTGGAAGGACAATTACCGAATCAATAAACCATGTATCGAATAGACAATAATTTGGATTGTCCTGGATGTATACTCTGGAAAATGTGACATTGATAGTATTCGGTGGAACTATGACGCCCTATAAAGAAGAAAAAATGACATTACTCATCTGAAAACCTCAAATCAATTATTTTGGCTAGTACACATCATGGTTCTATATCTTACTGTTCACATTTGCTGAATCGGATCACAATGTCCTGATGATAACACTATTTTATTTCATTAACATCGGAATCATTAAATCGAATTCATTAATGAATGGAGGTTGTTATCTGAAACACCACATTGTTTTGTAAGATAAATGAATGTGAAATACACACGAATTCAGAGACCATTATACCTACTTACAACTCTTACTAATACTATTATTTTAAATGGTTTTCATACTTGGAAGTTAACACTTTTGGCAAAAATGATTATTAAAGAAGGAACGAATTGAGCGAAGAAATTTCTTTTCAATTGATTTCAAAAAATACTACAATAAACAGAAATCATACCCTCTTGACTGCAGTGATTTCACTTCCTGTTTCTTCGTTAGAATAATTTTCATCAATTAGAATGTTGACCATTGCATCATCAGTTATATTTAGTGAAGTATTTGCATTCCTAACTGTCACTTGAAAAGTGATGATGTGATTATTCTTCATTGTTTCATAATCACTTTCAATAACTTTCAAAATACCAGTTGTTCCATCGATAGCTACTGGTAAGTAGTTTGAACCAGCTACAATGTTAAATTGAACACTTCCACACGATGCTAAGGAGGAGTTTTCATCACTCAGAGAAAGACTACCAATCAGACTTCCATTGACCCAGTTAGAAAACTTGGTTTCGAAGGTGAATACTGTCTGATTGAATTTCGGAATTCTATGTACTAAAATGTTAATATTTCACAATAAATATAAACCAGAAAGGACTTATTAATCATGGAATGGAAAATATTTCTTCAACTGTAACCAATGCACAATACAAATGATTGAACGTTTTTACAAATAGATAAACCAATTCATGAGGAGATTTTGCTTTTAGTTGACCAACTGATGATTTTCCAAGATTTCCTATAACAAGATGCGAAGTGAATTTGACTACAAGCTTATCAAGAAATGTGAATTATTATCCATTCAGTGTAATGTTTATTTCTTCTACAAGTAATGTAGTTAATGAAGAACTCAGGTGTGGAATAATAATTTATTGTTCAATGCAAAATTAGAGAGTTACATTGAATACTTCATTTGCAAATCCTACATCATTTATCCTTACATCATTCATGATTCTTCCATCTCTCAATCCCTTCATGCTTCCCTATTCTGTTTTTTCAGTGCTATCTTCTCAAGCTTTTTTTGAGAGACATACAACTTGTGATTGGTTTACATACTACTTATGTAGACAGGGATCAGTAGAATACACCACAGTAAATCTTATGAGCTTCAGATAAGAGTCTTTATCATCATTTCGATAAAGAAAAGGATAGAATGTAACCAAATATTTATAAAACCGAACAGAAAATTATCTTGTTATTAGTAATATTGACTAGTTAAACCATAAATGACTGACTTACCTCGTTCTTCACAGGTTTTCCCGATCCAACATGTATTACATACACAGGTTCCATTAATGCAGTGACCATTAACACAGCTCCTAATCAAAAAGATTGTGTATTGCGGTCTTATACACACAAGTGATTTAGAATATGTACATAAGTGAAATTTGTTATGCATATTTCAATAACTTTAGTTTTAGTGTATGGAACTGACTTGCAGAAAATCATTAATTTGCTATTAAAAATCAGTGATTTGAGTCTGGAGATGAGATACCAAGATGTATACTTATTACAACAAACCTTTATCGATACATTAGCTAAATATACCGGAATTTGTACTGTTTTGATATGACCTGACCATCCCAAAATCGTAATTTGATGAATATCTCTGCACAGTTTAGTACTTCTACAAGTTTCTCCATCTTGCAAAGTTGGTAAATCGAAACTAAGAGTAAAGAGCTTTGAATATGATTTCAATATGAAATCGCTGACTTTAGTTTCTACACAATCAACAACAGATCATTAAGGTTTAGGATTTGTTCGTTCAGTTCAACCATAAACGAAACTGAAAATAATGCCAATAAATATCCTGAAATTCTTGAGAATTGTGCTCATCTTACCTTTAACCACTATTCTTATACACTATTGATGTGATATTCCAAACAAACAGAAGCGTCAGCAAACATGCTTATATCAAGATAACGCATTAGCATTAATGGCTGACTAGAGATCAACTAAGTTTCAGCTTTATTTTAGACAGTCTAAATATTTCAAATTGCTTTTTGTATATTACTGAACAGTTTTCGCACTTACCAAAAATATTGAAAGTATTAAAATCAACAGTCAGTGAAACTATGGATACACTATTTCGAGAAACTTTATCTTTAGCACTGTCTTTCATTGGACGTTATATTGAAAGTTATATCATTCAACTGAAATGTTCCCAGGCCAATACTCTTAATCAGTTTAGAACCGTCATTTAAACTAATCAAGTCGAGACATGTTTAGTAGTTCTGATTACTTTCATCTGTTCTATGGGCTTTCTATGTGTTAGCTTCTAGAGGTGATCCTTTCCTCATTTGATTTGTTATCTATTAGTTGTCTGTCTTTAGGCTCAGTTACTGGTTTAAATAGACTGAGAATATGTTTATGGTTAGTTTGCACAGTAATCATTTGCAATTTAGTTCACGTATATCGAATGGTAGAACAAACCTGTTTGGGATGTAGTATTGATACAGAAAATTGAAGATATCACTCTACTAATTGTATGTAGCATAGTTTAATTTGACTGTGATTATAGTTGACCGCTTCCTCTATCGTTTGAGTCATATTAGTTCAATTGGATTAGTGATTGTGAATTCTAGACATAAATAGTTAATAAATGATGTCTATGCTATATACCACAAGTGAAATAAATGTCTTGTCACTGCTCAGTACACACAATTATACCACATTTTGTGTTACTTATGTATCTATATCACACAGAAATTTGTTAGGTGGTTGAAGATAGTCGGTAGGAAACGCTGGTTGTGTGTTATTCGGTGCTTGCTAGTAGCTAAGTAAACCATAGATTTAGGTCACCACTAAGAATTAAACATACATGATATTAACGATTATTCAGTAACCAATCCCTCCTGTTTATTAATAAACCTCTAATCAACCAAAGACATCTAAAGAGAATCATATAAATATTTATTACCATCACGACTATGATCATAAACCATTAATATTCTTTCAACAGACTTACGATGAATTATTTTCACACAATTTTGTGGATTGTTCAAATGATCCATGAACTACTGAATGCAATATATTAGTTTAAACCTAAACAATCATTCATCAACTTACAAACAGTATGAATCAGTATAATGATCAAATCTGTTGGAATTCTTTGATATACGATCATTATGTATGAATGTGAAAATGTAAGTGAAACGAAGGTGATGATGATGAAATTTTGGGTTCAACTTTGTTTAAAATATTTTCCGATGATTAAACTAATTTCAGTCAGTAGCTAAATTAATTTCAAGTGAAGCTGAATTCATTTAAATAGTTGCAAAATATGTAGTCGTTTCAGCCAATCAGAATGCAGTCACTGAATTTTGAGTAGTTACACCTATTTATTCTAATCCCTAATAAGAAACGAAACCTGATGACAATCCACATATTTGTCATATGAATGAATTTTTGAACAACAAAATACTTGAACACTCCAATAGCAACAATTATTCCTACATACTCTTATACTGATCCAAAACATGAAGATGATTAACAAGTCTTTAGTATTTTGGGCGATAGTGAGTTGAAAGTATGAAGTGGACCTGAGACTGAACTGTGATACACTGTACTACATGCAAAGTTGTCCTTAAGGTAAATGAGAAAACTAACACTTTGGTAACCAGGTGACTGAAAAAAACAATGTTTTACGTTGAATTGATATGTGAACAATACAAAATGGTGTTCTATAAGAGGTCGTTGATATCTTGTTTTATTTAATACAACCATGGCTCTTTACTGAAACAATTCATATTTGTCATATTGTAATAAAGCATTGTTATAATTTAGCCTGCAGATAATTTAAGGACAACAAATTGAATGAATATAAGCCACCGGTATTTAAGCTTTTCTATTGTCTATCTGGAATGCTTCAGTGAATAAGGGTTCTTTCACTATTATTTTGATTACGTTTATTACGTTTGGGAGACATAGTAAATAAAGTGAATTACCTCTCCGTATCACAAATCCCTCACCATTTTCGTTCCTTCTTCCCAGTCAGTGTTGTCCCATGATGTCTTCATATATGTTGTTGTCCATTTCAACATCGGCATATAGGTCTCACACCGGAATAGTCAGGTCCTTTGTTGGGCATCTCTCGACGATTGATCGCAGCCTATTATAGAATTGGTCTTTAACGTCTTCATTGTAGTCGTTGCTAGGTGCATAGCATTGAATGACGTTCACTGTAATGCTCTATTTGTTTGTTTTCAAAGAGGCTTTGATTATCCATGGTCCGTGAGATTCCCATCCTATAAATGCATCTTGTACTTCTTTGGATAGCTTCAATGCAACTCCTTGTGTATGTGGGGCATTTTCTTCTTCATGGCCGGAGTATAACAACACCTTCCCTGAAGCTACACTTTGTTGTCCAAATTGCGTCCAATGTGTTTCACTAATCTCAAGCACCTCCAAGTTTTATCTCGTCATTTCTGCAGCACGTTAGAAGACTCTCCCAGTCTCCCACATTGTGCGACCATTGCATGTACCTAAATAAATGGTTGCTCTTGTTTTCAGAAGGGTCATCGACCTCATGAACTCCGATGGAACTCGGCCTTCACTACGAGACGTCATAACTCTTCTAAATGAAGAGCTTCTAAGTCGCAGGCCAGAGTTTAAATGGTTTGAATTATTTTTTTCCGGTTAGTGTGTTTTGAGCGAGTTAGTTTTCTACGGGATGATGTGCTAACCCCATGCCCAACTCTTCTGCTTTATTCTGATTTGGAACAGACAGTAGCCACAGAGAGGTTCCAGTCGGAGTTCTTTAAACGTGTTAGTCACAGTTAACTGTTAAGCGGTAATATGTTTTCTTTCTGTGATACACTTCATATTTAATTCATCGAGTTAAGAATTCGAAAACCTTACTCGTGAGTGCTTTAATTGTTTACCATTTCAGTTCAGTAATGTGAAGTATTTGTAAATGGATGGAGTCTCTGTGGTACCGCACTGGGATCAAATTTAACTAATTTATTCAAAAGAATTTCTGAACGAACGAAGTAAAATTACACAATTGATAACACAACAATTTGCTATAATTAGGTTGATGATTAATTTATTCATCACAAAAGCACAGACTGAGAACTATCAAGACTAAAATAATTTCTCAATGATTTAGAATAGGGATATTATATCAGCATATTTTAATAGTGCTAGCAATCTAAGGAAAGACTAGATGAAAGACTTGAGTACAATAAGAATTTCCTAGTTGAAATGCCTGTTCTCAGTGAATTGTTGATAAATATGTCAAAATGGTGAGATGCATCAAATATGATGCAGCTGGAAAGAAAGGAAGCTGGTCTCTTACACTTTGGTTTCACAGGAGATATAACTAATGGATTGATAAACGACAGAACTTATGCTACGCTGAAAATTTCTTATCCTGCACCAAGGCTCATCACAGTATGTGAGAAAGCTGCACTTGGAAATAAACGAAAATTGACAAGTCTTCCATTCTCACCTTCTCTAGCATCATTTATTAGTTTAGATTCACTAGCCAAAACACCTAAATCAAAATTACGAAGAGAACAGTGTCTGCTTTTACTTGGAGTAAGTTACAAAGAACTTGAGATCATAAGTCATATTGTTAACAGACCGAGTCATCCGTACGATAACAACTTATCTATATCCTTGTACCTTCATTATTGTTGCGAATGTATGAATATGTATGCTTGTGCATTGCTTAATGCCTACTCATATATTCATTCTGCTAGCTTTACTATTAGCTCATTATAAATGAAAATTATTTTTGAAATAATTTCAGCGATTGAAATTTAAATAATTCCAAAGTTTCGTCCAGCTAGCTTGTCTGGTCTTCTTCAGGGTGATAATCATAAATCAAAATCATCAAAGAAGTATATAGCTTTTTGACAATCTAAACTATACTGTGTTAAGCCAATCATATTTGGATGTTGATTTTGTAAAATATTCAATCATGTGAAAAGTTCAACGTCATGGAAATAATTAGCTGAAAACGATTTGTAAGTGTGTGTGTGTGTGCAAGTATGTATGTATGTATGTATGTATGTATGTGTAAGATTCGGTTATAAATTGATAAAACACGAAGTTCAGCGAAGGGATCTCTTTTCAACGAATTTATTATCAAGCTTTACAATCGTATATATATGAGCTTGGGACCCAAAACCCGTAGACTTCAAACAAAAATACAATTCGAAAATCCATCAAATCAAACTCACGATCTTGTGCTGACATCCCCATAAAGTCTTCAGCAATTTAAATCCACATTACTGGACTGCACTCATGGATACTTTAATGCACAATGTAGTAAGAATAACCTATTAACTAAGAACCACTTGGATCAGCTAATACTCCTGAAAAGAAATAAGGATTTAATCCTAAGTAAACCTGACAAAGGAGCTGGTGTAGTATTACTTGACCGCCATGAATATTTGGATAAAATGAAGTTAATTCTAAAGGATGTTACTGAATTCTCCAAACCTAAAGGAGAAGTTGATAAAACATTGCAAATTGAAGAACAGCTAACGGATGTTGTTAAAAATCTTAAGAATAAAGCGATAATAACCCAAGATTTATATAATCACATATGTCCCATGGGTTCAATCATCCCGCGCTTGTATGGACTACCGAAAGTACGTAGACTGGTTTAACGTTACGACCTATTTTGGATATGTCGAGTTCACCATACCACCGAATCGCCCAATGGTTAGCTGAAAAAATTGGAACCAGTTATAAGGCAAGTATCTAAATATTCTATTCATGATACTTTTCAATTTATTGATCGTATTAAGGACGTTAGTACATCCGAAAAACACATGTTCTCGCTTGACGTTAACTCTCTGTTCACTAGCGTACCCTTAACCGAAACGATATGTTATATATGTGAGTATATTAATTCTAACAACATAGATCTAGGTTTGCCGACTGAACACTTGAAAGAAGTATTGTTACGCTGTACTTTTAATGTCCAGTTCAGCTTCAACAACGAAATATATAGACAAAGGCATGAGATCGCATTGGGGTCTCCATTGGGTCCAATTTTAGCAGACTGTTTTATAGCAAAAGTAGAAAACGACCAACTCCGTTCAATGACCAATCGATTCCACCTATACGTGAGATAAATGGACGACACGTTTGTCGTTTGTGACAATA